CAGCGCATCCTTTGTATCGTTAAAATAGCATTTTGTGACAGTCCAACGAACCGTAAACGAAAAAATAATGAAAATTAGCATAAACGGCATTAGTCTGATACAGGACCAATTTACATTGGCCATGTTCCTCCTGTGGTTTGGAGTGCGAAGAAACTGAGGATTTACGAACACTTTCAACAATTCTAGGAAATTCTTGCTAAAAGCGCTTACCAAGTAAGAACGAAACACTGAAACAAGTAGCCGTAAAGTCAGTTATTTCCATTATGCGAACACTACGCAATAACAAGCATGCGCATCAGTCATGTGATTTCATGTTGAAACAAAATTAACCACATGGACAAGATCACTAAGCGCATTAGAAAGGTTTTCTAACTCTCTTTACAGTTAACTCTGGTTTTCCTTCAACACGCATAAATCTTTCGCCTTTTACTAAAGATTTCCGTGGAGGAGAACAATTGAATGAGTCTATAGACTAATTTTTCGTAGCCCTGCCTTACGGCGGGGCCCCTAATCATAGAAGAATAATAACATACCCTACCTTGCTCGGTTAAGATCAAACATAATGTTTGAATGGCTGCCCAGTTTAGCTCTAGATGGAGATGAAATAAGTGTCCTCCGGCTTTTAAACGCACAGGACCAATTGAATTCACTGGGTTTATCATAGTAAAAGAACTGGGAAGCGAAGAAAACCGGCCGAGAAACAGAGATAAATCTTCCAGTTGTTTGGTAAGTTTTGACGGCAGAAGAAACCACTCGCGGAGAAGAGGGTTACTTGGGACGGAATCTTGGGTTGCGTGGAGATGCCTGTGGACAAACCAAAAATATATTTATATCGATTCGAATCAAAACAACAAGACTAGTGTACCGTTACAAAGGAAAAAAGTTTTCAAAGTCAACAAAGACTATTTCGAAGGCCAACAAACATGGGGAAAAGCGTGCGAGACACGTGAAAACGAGCGCGCCAGTCACGCAAACAACGCACAATTCGTGTACTACCAAAATGCACAGAAAATTTCTCTCACTTGTGTGCAAAATGCAACAGGAATGCACAGAATTCACTGCACAGTCTTCGAAGCTCAACACAGCGGGAGTGCACATCATCTGATAAAAAAAAGACATAATTAGCTTATTTCTTTCCACATAACAATCTTCTAAAAAGTTTCTTCATGCTGAGCTGTGGAAACCACAATAAGCTGCACCTGCAATAGCTTCTTGGCTTAAGTGCTGACTTAACCCTGTTACTTTTAAGGAACATAACACAATAACTTCCACCAAATCTAAAAGTCAGGCTTTTGGCTGAGAGTCTGGTGTACACTGACCACTAAGCTAATGCATCTGTAAATTTTGCAAAAAATCATATGCAAGAAACTGAATTTAAATGGTTTGTCTGAAAAGCAACCCTGATTTTGCTATTCCTGAAATTTTTTGGAAATAAAAAGGCTTGTTTCCAAATAGCAAGTGAGCTCCTTCTGTTACACTAACTCACAGGAACTGCAACAATAAGTTGGAAGTATAAACTTTGTTCCACCATAAAGAATCATTTACCAGATAAAGTTGTGATGCTTCCATCATTTTCCAACCGAAAAACTTGCTGCCTAGAAAGTTGCAATAAAAGAAACATTTATATCTCTGTGTTAATCTGTTAATCATAACAGTAGACAATCCACAATATCTGTGATGTACTGTGACATTCAGTAGCCAACAGACAAAGTGCAACTTAATTCATTCTCAGTGGGAAAGTAAATTTTTGGAATTTTGACATCATTCAGGAGCAGCAAAGCATTTTGAAATGAGGGGGTTTGTCGCACACCAAGTAAAGTGTGTACTCATACCCAATTTTCTCAAAATGTCTCCGCATAGAGTTCTTGGCAAAAACAAAATTCTTTGCAATTTTCATACCGTTCAGTGTGTCCACAGTTGATTTCCCAAAATTTATAAGGTAGTTATTAATAAAATTCCAATAATTACATATTATTTTACTGAGCACAATCCTGATGAAAAAAATAATTTGTTTTTAAAGAAGAAAGTCACTGAATGTTTTGTCCAACCCCTTGAAGTTATTGGTGATGATAACAATATATCTAAATGGAGACTCTAATTAAACATTAAAACTTCTCATTAAAATTTTCTCGTATCAACTCCGAAGTACAGCTTTCTCCAGTGTCATTCAAAGCAACAAATCTAAATAAATGATAAATTACCTCAGCATAAAGAATAATGTTTCCATTTGATGAAGGAGAACACTGCCTGAGACAAATGTGGCTCCAAACAACTTGACAATCTGGTTTGAGAATAGTCCTGGATAAGGATCTTCATGATGCAGAACTCTTCAAATATAAAAAGGAGAGACTTAATCATCTGTCCACATGGAACTTATCAAGGGCAAGATTGAGATTTGCACTATTGCAGTGTTGCTCACTTCTTTGTAATATTTTGGTGAAAAAAAGTCTCCCATGGCAGTCTCAAATCCTGCATTGTATTAAAGCCCCTGTATATACCAAAACAACATTATCTGCACTGATGTGGTTCCTTGTTCAGTGGACACATGCAAAATGACCCTGATAAGAGATTTCAATGAAATCCAGCCAAAAATTCACAAACTGGTGATCACAAATTTTTTCAGTTTTTGCTAAACAAATTTGAAACATTTGTAGTCATGATTATATAATTTCTAGTTTTCAATTTCACTATTTAGAGTGCCTCTAGATTGACTGGTATAAATCCAAACCCAAAGTAATCACAACAGCCAATCAGAAGACGGGATGAAGTATTAAGTTTTCACAGAGAGAGCAAAACCATTTAGCAATCCTGGATTACTTTTAACATCCAGTTTAAAATCACTTTATCCGTGTTACTTTGCAAACATCAACCAAAACTCATATTTTACAGACTCAATCCCTTTTAGCCTTAAAACAGGAAAAAAGGTTATAGGATAAAATACTCACGCACTAAATACACCAGTAGTTAGGTAACCATTTTGGCAGAGTGCCTCTTTAATTCTGTTTGATGAGATACGACCACTGCAGTTTAACTCCGCTGGTTTTCTACTCACAGAAGCTGGGAGTATCATAAAAAAGGAAAAACACAATCCATAAGCACAACAGGATAGTGGCTTTAAACTTAGGAAGGAAAGATAAAAGAATAACCCGGTATTATTCGAAAACAAAATCCTAGTCCCAAAGGCAAGCTTTTTTTTCCACCATTGATTTCTTTATCCAAGAACTGTGTACATAATGAAGTATGGGGTTATGCAGAAATCTTGCCCAAAAGAATACTAACTGAGGAGTTCTCAAAGGCTGACGCAAATGACACAGATACAAGGTTTGATAACTCATGATATCATACAGAAACCAAATCCAATAATTGTTTTATTATACATTTTTTAAACGATCTGCAAAAGAAGACACTTTTCTCTGAGTTTGCAAAAGTTTGAGAACACTACACGGACATGGGGCTTGGAAACTAGGCAGCTTTTGAACACAACATGAAAACCCAAAATCTGTTGCAGATCTTGGGTTCAAAATGCTATTGTATCTTGACTGTATGTTCTTGACCAATCAGAGTTTTCATAGTAAGTCTAATGTATAATTATTTTAATTACGAGCCCGAAAAGAGAAATTTGCTTTTTGTTGTTAGTGAAAATTCCCGCTTAGTTCTAAGATGTCACCTTTTAGAGACTCTTTCTCCATTAAAAATCATCTGTGTTCATACGAAAACTGTAAAAGCAATGAAATCTTAGCAAACGAACAGGGTTGAAATTTTCGCTGTGAAAGATTTCCGCATAACCCTCCAATAATCTAAAAAAGAAGCACGTAGTCCCAAAGGTAATCTAGTTATAATGTTCTCGCCATTTTTTATCCAAGAACTGTATGCATAATGAAGTATGGGACTGAGCAGAAATTTTGCGTTCCCCTGTGGACAGTAAACAGAAGGCAAAATCACCCCGCTCACCGGTTGTCAGGCTGAAGAAGCCCGAGTTTCGTCCTCGTAAGAGGGGTGGAAATTTTAAGCCCGGTGATAAAGATCTCAGTTACTAATACCGCGATTTCCGTAAACGGGCTGACCCGCCATATTGTATAGATGCTTCCAAATTTTCACGAAGGTGAGAATCGTTAGGCGGGATCTCAATAATCTCGCAGTCCCATTTGACAGCGCTCATATGGGAACGCTCCTAAGCTAAAATTGAATTCAAACCCTACCAACTGCATGTGTTTTGGGAGATTTGTCGATAGAGGTTCTTCGACGTTTCGCTGATGGTTCCTCGTGGACCTCACTTGGATCGAAGAATTCATCAAATTCTAGACTATCTGGCCATTCCGAAAGATCTTGCAAATCGGCCACACTGAAGTCAAATTCCATCATGTTTGGATTTTCTTTCCCACCGCGAACAACAAATTACCCGCCATTTCTGATTGTCTTTGTGTTACCCAGTCCTCTTCGCCGCAGCAAGCTTTTAGCCTGTTTGATCTTGGCGGGTCACAATGACGTTTCCTTTGTCTTACATGTTTGCTGTTTCTTTGTTATTTTGGAAACATTAGCCTAGCAAGAACAGCTGTTTTCGAGAGCATGTTTTATTCCTCAAGTAAGACAAAAATAAAGGCGAAAAGAGATAATGTAAAGTAGATTCCGCTTGTGTAGCCTCGCGAAGAAATCTTTTTTCAGTGTAGGGGGGTCAGAGGCGGGGGCTTTGAATGATCATAGCTCTTCGATATATTACGCATGAACACGCTTTTGGTAACCTCCTGTTACTAAATGTAATTGAAAATGGTTTCGTATCGTATAAGATTTAATCAAAGGCGATCAAAGGAATTAATACACACTTTACCTAATCGCCTCACATACAATTTCTCGAATTAAAATTTCAGCTCTCGTGTCTTTATTTTAAGTTTCCCAACCAATTACAAAGGCAATGGCGCGCCCGAAAACAAAACGAGAGAATGATGAGTTCTGAGTACTTCTTTCAATTAGTGTCATGGTCATTGTGCAAGACGGAAGAGTATATTTCTTAGGTCAAGAATGTCTAAAGGATAGGAGACTTAGAGTCACAGCAGTGCTGATGTCTCGCGCAGATCTACGTATTTGTTCGGACAAAATGCCTATGAACGTTTCCGCCCCGATAGGTTCTTCCACAACTCAACCCAGTCCCTTCCTACAGCGTCTCGCTTCACATTCCCTCATCCCACCCACTCTCCTTTGAAACTGTTTTTTTTTATTTTTCATCAATGCGATGTCACGCAACGCTCATCTCTACGGGAGGCGGCGCTGGATAACATCCCAGCGGTTGCGAAGGTGACTTCTACTCAAGTCTCATTCCTTAGTAGAGGCGGTACAAAACACAACAGATTGACAGGTATTTTCCTCCTTTATTAACTTCCTTTTTAAACACTAATGCAGAAAGTACAGGAAAGTATCAAGGAACTCACTTGGACAATGTAACAAACTGTGCGTCACGAATGATCCTTCTCCCTGCGTATGAAGAAGAGCAAAAACGTTACACAATCACCCCTTTATTGCCTCCACCCTCCCCTTACAGCCGCGCTCGATAAAGACCACACCCTTATCCGGTCACTTAGAAGGGAAGCTCAAAACTTTGCATCGCGACTAAAAACGAACTTGACCTAAAAAGTGGAGTTCTTTTCACCAAGTTTGAAATAGTTCTAACCGGAAAAAACTCCTGTTAGTTAAATCGAGAACGTAGGGAGTATCTGAGTGGTCCCGTTCGTATAAAAAAAAAAATGGACCTCCCAATCTATAATACACGATTGTAGCCTTGTGTGATAACATATTTTGCAACATTTTCTAACGTAGACAACTGGCCCACTTTTCAATAAACACGACTCTCTACTATTCGCAATACCTTGCTGTCGGATTAATCCGCGCTACTTCAAAACTTAACACTACTGCAGCACCGATGTCGCCCCGCGCACCTCTTAATATACACTGCACGAAAGATCACGACTCTACTTGGTAAATACCCTCTATCTTGTCGATAATTATGAGCCAAACGTCTTGGTACAAGGACCTCATTTCAAACGCACCACCTTCATCAGAAAGTTAGCTTCCCAATAAGACTACGCTTGTACACAAGCATAATACAGTAGCAAATCACGGGAACTAAGGGAACAACATGCTAATGATAGGCTGGGGGAATCGCCTTGACCCCACCCCAAAATTCAACACGATCTTTTCTAGCAAAACTCTGGAAACTTACTCGGTAAACACGAAAACCTATCCCCCACCTATTTCACAAGATACAAAAAAAATAAATTTGAGAGGAAACTGAAAGGGGTGGTCAACTGTCTAATTAACACAACTCAATCCTCCTTCACACGAACAGACAACAGGGCAATAATAAGAAATTCCAAGAATTAGCTCGTCTGAATGTTTTGGTTAGATGATGGAAAGACTAGGAACAACTCAGTCAACTGTAACAAGCGATATTGTGGCAGAATGTTCAAACATGATCTGCAATGAACCTTCCAAACAAAGTCACAGGAACATGGGACACATTGGAAACACAATTTCTCATAAACAAAAATTCGTTCCCTTCCCTCACATAATACATATTGCAAACAACATTTTATGCTTTAGTTGAAAGATCTATGAAAGTGAGGGGCAAAGGTGAAATTACCCAATATGGTAGTTTTTGAGCAATATGTGGAGGCATGCACAAAAAAATGTTTCTTCAGTATGTACTTAATTAAGGTACATGCGGCATCCATGGAAACAAGGTCCCGAGAAAAAAAAAAGTATATAATTTCTCACTGCACAGTTAACAAAATAACTAACAGGAATTACAAAGTCAGTTCTGAGGTCTCTAAGAAAACTGAGCATTCTATTGCAGCCCCTTCCATGGCTCACTGGGGTTGACTTAAGCCAATGCAGTTTTTTCCGGAGTCAAAGGTGTCCTCCCACCCTTAAGTGACATTTGCATTAGTATTCCAGAATATTTGTTGCATAAAATTAGCATTTAGAGTAAGAATTTCCTAAAACAAATTACAGCCCAAAAAAAAAAGGATGGATCTTATGGTCAACATTAATTGGCAATTGACAATGTACCTAGAAGAAATTAATGAACCACCCAGAAGAAAAAAAAAAGGATGAATCAAAGTAACACAAAAGTGACAAAATAAACAACAACAACTACTACAAACAAACAAACAAAAATAGAATAAAGAGACCTGTCAGGTCTCAATACTCACCTTCCCCTGTCAAGAAATGTACAATTCTCGCTTTTCAATCAAGATTGAAATTTAAAGGATTTTCAGTTTTATCAACTTTGGGTGAATTCAATGGGAATTTTTTTTTGCACAATCAATAACTTGACACTTACATTTTAGCCAGCCTTTCCCTGCTAGGCCATTTTAGATCATGTGTTTTATTAGCAGTTTTAATTCTTTTCATAACGACTTCAATCAAACAACTTTACAAGCCCAAACAGTATGGTTGCCTTCTGATGACCAAATCACAATGAACATTCAATAAGCAAAAGGCATTGCCATTTCAACTTCCAAAAGCAATCTGTCATTTAACTTAAAAAAAACTAATAGCAATGAACTTTACTATGCTAAAAAGCAGAAAAGATCAGTACAGTGGTTCCATATCACCTAAAAGTTGCTACATCCAAAAGCAATCAGCGTAGTTTATATTGAACTAAAAGAATCTAAAAACTCTTTCAAGAGAGCTGTGTCCAATCACATGTAAAAATAAAATGCCTCAGGTATTGGTGCCACACAGACCAAATTGTTTAACTGCTTCCAAACTGAATCATCAACAAGACAAGTCTAGAACAAGCCAAACAGCTCTATTTACAGAATGTTGAATTTCCCTCGTTTCAAACTTAAAAACCGAAACAGACAAAGAAAGGCCGTGTAATAGGTTGCCAAATCAGAATCAGTTGTAAGCCAAAATATCTCCCGCTGGTCTACCATCCTTGCCAGCTACTGTCGCTATACCACTCCTGGTTTGATCCTTGGTTACCATAACCACCTTCGTTGTACAGTGGCTGTTGAGCGATTGGCTGGCTTCCCCATCCTCCTCCTGACTGGTTCTGACCCATGTATCTGCGTTTGGTCTCGGGGTACTCAACTGTTGCCTGAGCGTCAGCACCATACTTCCTTTTACCAGGGGCAACACCTCCTCCACCTCTGGGTCCACCCCTTGGAGGACCACCTCTTCCACCACGGGGTGGACCACCACGGGGACCTCCTCTTCCCCCTCGTTCACCACCTCTTCCTGTAAAACCACCACGACCTCCACGGGGAGGTGGGCCACTGCGCCCACGAGGACCACCTCTTGGATTCTCACTGTAGCGATCATAGCCACCATAACCACCATATCCACTGCCGCTACTACCACCACCATAGTAATCATCATAATAGTTGTCACTGTAACTCCTATCACCATAACCTCCACTGGAACCATAGCCATACCCATCACCTTCATAGTAATCTTCATAACCTCTTTCGTATCCATCACTGTATCCACCATACCCATCTCCACCACCATATCCCCCACCATACCCTCCACGGCCACGACCACGCCCAGGAGGGCCTCCACCTCGTGGACCTCCACGGGATCCTCGAGCACCAGCATTCATGGAACCATATCCAGACTGCCCCGCACGCTTCCTGTCCTTGTTTGCTGGCTGAGGCTTGGCCAGAGACACCTCTAGTGTTACTCCATCCATCGTAGAATTGTTTGTTGCTTCTATAGCCCTTATTGCATTTTCACGTTCCACAAAATGGATAAAGGCATAATCTTTGAGTTTCTTAACTCTTTCAATTGTGCCAAATTCTTCAAACTTTTCCTTCAGCTGCTCTTCAGTGACATTTGGGGTCACATTTCTGACATAAACAACTTTAACCTGCAAACCATAATCATTAATTTCACATGAATACATAAATAATAAGCAATGGGAAAAACTTACACAAGAGGAGACAAAAACCAAAATACCCAAATCAATAAAAAATGTCATTAAACAGAAATATTGACAGGCAAAAAATATGAATCTTTCAAAAAATATGAAATTATTCAACCCAACAACCTTTGGAGACAAACAGTTCATATTCTACTTGCACTCTCAGTGTAAGCAACATTCTGAAGCAAATATAAATTTCTTTGCATCATCTCAAACAGTGATGCCATTCTTAACATGACAAATTTCAAGGTAAAGGTCCCTAAAAGTGTGTTACAGTTTGGCCTTACCCCTTCAGAGACATGAGCTTCTTACTGTGATTGACTACATGTAAAATTATTCTTACTTGTATCCCCTGACAACTATACAAAACTGGACCAATGAAAAATATATTGCTTTTCTGCATAGCAATCATCAAGATTCTCTCACTCAACAGCACAACCAAGTTTTCTTGTTTTGCACAAAAGTTTAAATTTCCATTAGTGCCTCATGCCAGAATTTTTTTGTAAAGGAACTCTTGTGCCAGTGCCTTTTTAAGAGTCAATGGAACTCCTATCTAGCAAGCTTGCCTGAACAATATGCAACAAAGAGAAAAAGAGAAATCTTGACCACTTTGCATTTGAATTCCTTTCCTCTCTTCCACCCAACACACCCTGGCTACACTAGCACTTGTGCCTTTAGTTTAAAAGAAAAATAATTTCCTAGAGACTCAAATCTAAAAAATGTATAATAACCTTGGACATGACATCTGCATCAGGTTCTTCCTGTGGGTCTGCCCAGTCAACAGTTGGGGTAATATTACCCCACACTTTCACTCTCCCACTAGAGAGTCTTCGCCGAGCAAGAGATGCTGCCTGGTGAGATTCATACTCTAGGAAAGCAAATCCCCTGTTTCTGGACTTGTTTTCCGCTGACATGTACACAATAACTTCAGTCAGTCCTGTTGTAGCTTGACTGAACTCTTCCTGGATCTCCTGTTTATTCTTGTTCTTGGGTATAGAGCCCACAAACAAACGGTTGTTTGCTACAGAAAGGCAAACTCCAAGCCTTCTGCCAGGCCTGATTTCTTTATTGTCAAGCCTCTTGGTGGCATCTTGTGCCTCATCTTTAGAAGAATATGTACAAAAGCCATAGCCTCGGTTCTGACCTGAGAGAGGGTCTATCATAAGTCTAAAGTCATAGATTTTGCCACATTCCTCCAAAACAGGAATAAGTTCATCTTCAAAGCAGTCTCTGGGGATCTTGCCAACAAACACTTGGCAGCAAACTTTCTGTGGATCCAATGAAAAAATATACAAATATTTAATTATATAATGTATACCAATTTTGGCTACTAGTAAGCTTAATGAAAAATTTCATCTCATTTTAACCTGTGCATTTTACAGATAATAATATATGCAAAAAGGAAGCTGAATAAATTTCAGTACTAGTTCACTAGCATCCACTCTGCTGATAACCAAAGTCAATTCTTCAACGTGCTATGATCGGTTTGCCAACTTACACGAATTCTTTTATCTGTCTTTTAAGGTACGTTCCCACATTTTATCCAAAAAAACAAACAAAAAAATATATATATATAGAGAGAGAGGGGGGTAACTGAGCATCCATGCAACAGATACTTGAAAAAACAGTATGTGACGAGTCAGTTTACCAATACGTTTTTCCATCTGCCTAACAAGTTCGTTGCTCGACAGTTTAATCTAGCTATTAACGGCAGACCGAAAATCACAAACAAACTTCTTGCGATTGAAGGGTGGAAAGAAAATTCTTCACGACGAAAAAGTTTAGTTTATAAATGATTACTGAATTCCGTTAATCGTTAACAATATCTACGATTGACTATAGAGATCTTATAGTCGGCGAAGCAGAGAAAACTCGTCGGCAATGTGACCCGAGTGGTCAACCAAGAGGAAGTCGGCCAACTAGCACGCCGGCTAAACGACCATAGACCGTATTGTCTATTAAATTATGGCAAGCGCAACTGAAATTATTTATAAAATTACCTCGCTGCCTGTCCCAGGAGGAGGGCCTTCCCAGTTTGGCGGTGGGCCACCATATTTCCGTTGTCCCGTAGTGATATCCAAAGTGTACCCTGTGCTGTCAAGCAAAGCTTTGATCTTCTCTTCGTCAGGGCCACTCAAGGTTTCGTTTCCGGGTGTTTGTCCGTGAGCCTTCTGTCGGTTTTTCTCGCGATATGTCTTCATTACTCCACAGAGGAAAGCACTCTTGTTTTGCACATGAGACAGATCGCTGTTTCCGAACTGCTCTAACACTTCAAGGGCGCCATCTTCGTTGAATTCTCGTAAAGCATCTAAAGCTCTGTCATCCAGTTCGGCGGGAAGCAACGCACCCGTAGCAAAGATCACACTGACTCGCTGAGCCACTCGAAGGCTCAACCCTTGGCCCACAAGTGTCTGCGCGTCTTCTGATAGTTCTTGCGTTGATTCCATCGCAAGTTCGATTTGTAAAATTACTGTCACAGCGTTAAGAATCTTCGATGCTTGGACGCCCAGACAACGTGGTCTGCGAATGTGTTTGAATGATATCTGTGGGGTGGACCTCAAGAGTGAACAGGTTCCTTCAATCGATATCCACTCGGTTGTAACTTCGGCTGTCGGTTCAAACGAAGACAGAGCCTGGGGCATTTCGAATTTTAACAGTGATCACAGGCCCAAGCTCTAGCTGTGAGATGATCATCTCGCGAAGTACTAGTCACAGCGAAATTATAAGAGTTTTTATGGGAATATTTACGACCGCTCTTAGGAAGTAAAAATTCAGTCAAATTCTCAATAAAAACACGTCACCTTACTTCCACAGTGAATCGCTTGTTGTCTAACCGCTTACTTTGTTGCAACGAGGTTATTTTCGCGAGTTTTCCATTTCTAGATTTCCCACTAAAAGTTGTTTTCTTCTATAGATAAACTTAGAATCTGAAACAATGAGTAACGTGAAGTCCACAACCCAAGTTAGAGCTCTAGAGCGATTTTCATACAAACGAATACAGGGGTTAAAATACAAAACAGTATTTAACAATGGATATTCTCAAGGGATTACTTCCGCCCAAAAAACGTTCAACAAAATTAGCCATGTCGCAGTTTTACGTTGGCTCCCGATCGGTGCAATATTCCTTGGAATTATTGCCGAAGTGAAAAACGCCGAATCCAGGTTTGATTTCTGTTGCAGTGGAGCGAAGAGTGAAAACAATCACCTCGTTCGTGGTAAATGTTTCCACCTATACCGGAAGCAGTACACCAAATACGGTGTTTCTGTCTGTGGCTTCGTGATCATCAATTTCGTCACTTATACAATTTTTGCTATATACCCCAAACTTTCTAAGAATCCATCTTAAGCCCACACCTGATAAGTCACATCAAGTCACACAAGTCACACCTGATAAGTCACATCAAGTCACACCTAACAAGTCACGTCAAGTCACGCAAGTCACACCTGATAAGTCACATCAAGAGCAGGAAGACAGTGCTCTTTCTCACCGCTCACCCGACCGTCAAACTGGTGCGTTTAAACATGAACAACAATTCTGTTTCATTCCCAAGTTAAAGGAGTAGCACACTGTGCCAAGTTCATTGCTTAGCCAGCCCTTTCTGATGATTCAGTTGACACAAAAACGTTTTTTATTTTGGAAGTTCCTTTATTTGTAATAATATCATTTCCTTTCTAAAAAACATTAAAGAGGTCTTCACCTCTAAAGACTCATAAATTTGTTTCCCACGAGACTGCTTTCTACAATTATCCACATAAGTGAAAATCGTAATTTCTCCCTCTTTTAGTAGAGTTTACGTTGTCTACCTTGTTTTAAACAACGTTTGATGGCTCTTTCCTCTGCCACACGTCATAGTTACGGGAATACAACGGCGCATTCTAGCTGCCGGATCCGGCTTCCATCACCGCTCCATCGCTACCGAAGCGAGAGCAGACATGGTTTATGTTACGCTGGCACCAAACGTGCAAACCAGCCCTCTTCAAGTGAGCCTGGCTTGGGTTCCGAAACCATATCTTCCCACGAGAAGGGGGTCTGGCCCGCCCACTAAGTTCTTGTTTTTCTCTGATGTTTCTAGAAAGCTAATTTCGCGTTAACAAACAAACAAAAAGACATGCAGAGAAAAGCTACAAAAAAGATTAACTGAAAGAACGTCACAAGCCATTAGACATCAGTACGCACACAAATTACCAAACAAAATAAACGGATCCACCAAGTCGCACGGATGAAAAAAAAAAAAAAAAAGAAAGATTCTTTCAATACTGAAAACGCCGTGAATGTAACTACCTGCAAAAGAAAGTAATCCACCGTAAAAACATTTATCATTAATACCTCATTGGGCGCTACCCTTTGATTCAAGTCGGACATGATGCTTACTGTGAAGCCTTAAGGCTGGTTTCTACTGGCGACGGAATCGACCTTGTGAAAACCGGAAATCGGAGTCATAAGCTCGACTAAATCGGAGTCCGAAGAATTAGAACGGTTTCATTTTCTTCCGATTCCGACTATGACTCCGACGCTTATAAAAATTAGATTGTCGGAGTCGAAAGCAAAAGCGGAAAAACCTATCAAACAAATTGCCAGTTCTCAGGCCCTCTCACTGGAGTTTTCCGTTTACAACTCTGACAAGAGCAAGGAGTCGTAAGCACCATCGACATTTTCCTTCCTTTACTGTCGGTTTGATTTTCATGGCTCGTATCAATCTGCGCTTCTGATTTAGACTCCGACTCTGACTTCATCGTGAGTGAAAACCAGCCTAAAGCCTTCCGCATACCATAATATGATTTTACACGAATGACAGCCAACTGTAGCCCGTGATTAACACTGCACTACGCGAGGGATATTCCTCGCATACCATTTTTGGTGGGAACCGATACCGGCTGAGTTCATCCAGCACAGGTGAGAAGCCAACTGTCTGTGCTGACACTTAAATGATCTCCTACTTTGCTAGAGATTGTTAAGAGGGATTTTCACTGCACAATCGAACGTTTTTTGGCATTCGTGACACCCGGCATCCATAGTGTTAGACTACTAGAATCTCTCTTCCCTCTTTTGATATAGAAGGACGTGTCACTTAAAGGTAACAGCATCGTAGAGGGGAACAGTCGGTCCTTCGTTCCTGTCCAACTCTGTCAAGTCCCGTCACAGTAAATTGTCTCTAAGGCGAATAAAAATAAACAACAATGAAAAAAGAAAAAAAAACCGGACAACAAGTGGTCAACTATAGTGAAAGCTCCATACAAACGCCCTCCCCTTGGCACCGGTTCTACCAGATACAAAGATTACACGAGTCTTTTTCGACTAGAAGCAAAGCTTGTATCTTTGAAGAAAAAAAAGTTCCCTACATCGGTGTCTCGAAAGAGGGGCTGTCTTGTACTTTTCTTTGGAAGTGAAGGGATACGGTGCATGTCCATCACTGATTTTCAAGTGAGAAATTCTCGAGACGAGGCTTAACTAAGTAGTAAACCTCCCATAAAAATCTCAGTTTACGTTCAGCACCGAAGTCGGTCGAAACACTCCAATTCTGACATGAGGGAAACTCTTGGGAACAAATTGTAGTTGACTAAGTAACCTTCACTTGAAGTGTCTCAATTTCCAGCCTAAGGCTATGTTCGTTTTGCAGGAACTGGCGCGAAAACAAATGCGGCAGCGTCGAAACCTTCTCTAATCCCCCCTCCCCCTCGCGCACACACGTCTCTTTTATTAGGAGAGAGTTGATTGATGAGACCGGACGATGCGCGCATCAGGACAATTCCTATTCAAGAACTTAGTCCCAGGCTACTTGCTCCCAATATAACGAATTTCAGCCTTACGATGCGTGCGCCAGTTTTTCAAGCTAGGTGTTTACGTTTGGCTAGAAATCAGAGACGATCATTTCTCTTGTTCTAACTAACGTTGACGATGTTCGGCTCATACTGCCACGAGTTTCATTTGGCTAAAGTTAACCTGAAGTAACAGGTCATTTTCTTCTCTAGGCCCACTCGCGACATAATTTCATACGAATTCGCTTGATTATCAAAAATGACTTCAATTAAAAACTAGAGCGAAAATATTCGCATAAGCCGTGAAGATAAAGTTTTCTGTTATTCTTCTGAAGCGATGGCGATGGGATTGATGTAAGAGTGAGTCTAGGTTCACTTTTGACGTTTCCAGTTGCCTTACCCAGCATGCTTAAACTTAAAATTTGGTATTTAGTACAGGACAGTCCAAGATAGAGAGGAGCCTGAACACTAGAATTTTCAAATACAACTTGACAGTATCAATCACACCCTCTGCACTCACTTGTAGCATTGATTGATGAGGCCTCAAGAGTAAATAAGTCCAAAAAGAAGCCTTAAGTGGCTAACTCATGCTGCGTAGTCCTTTTCAGGTTGAAATTGTTGACCCCCTTTCCCCACCCCACCCTACTAATGCAACAAAGTTTGAAGTGTTCTTAAGTCACACCAATAAATGCCACATAGACTTGGCTCTAGGCTACTAACACAAGTATCACAATATTGCACTTACCACAATGGCCTGCCATCGTCGTACCTCAACTGGAAATTTTCACGTTTTTGATAAGAAATTTCCAGTCACCATTTGACAATTTTTTTTTTCATACAATTTTTAGCACAGTTCCTTTTGGATCTTCTCAACTTCAGTTATAATTTATCCATGGTTTTTGCCCATGAAATTTTCTGATGCAATTTCAACATTATATTATTTTTGTTTCAAAGTTCATTTCTATCTTTTGACTACAACTGCAATTTCCCACAGAATTTCTTTTTCATTTTGGAGACAGAATGACAACATACAATTTATACCCAGCTGGTTTTACTGGCTAATTTTGAATAAGCAATTTTATTTAAGTTCAAGATTATATGATTGTTAAACAAACCCACTCGATCAATCATTGGATTGCAGATCTTCTTTAGATGTCTATTTCTAAGTCTACCGGTATTTTTGAACAATACTTGAAGTTTTATTTACTAAGTTCAAAAGAATGAAGATTAAAATGTAAAAATTTGAATTTGAAAAGCAGAACTAGACAAGGCTCATAGACTTTGGGAAGAACTACGAATGTTTATATGAAACACCACAGATTTTGCAACACAATCTCCTCTTTTACCCTAGTAACTCAAGATCAAAAAAGAAAGTTGATTCCTTAAGTTTTGAACTCAGTCAGATTATGAAAGAATTTCTTCTTTTTTGCTAAAAAACAAAATGATACAGAGAATGTAACATCGAAAAAGCCTTTTCCCTTTATGTTTGATGCAGCATCCAAACCAATCAGAGAAAGAAATGATTGGGCTCCAAACAAAATGATGACACAATTGGATCAATTCAACATGAATCTGGTTGGACAAGTTGAATGGCTGCCAATCAGCAAATACAGGATCACTTCACCATCCCTGCTGCTGCGACCAGGAGTCTTGGTACCACTGTTGATCGCCCTGGTCACTGTAGTTGTAGTCACCACCCCACTCTTGTTGGGAGTCCTGCTGCCCATACTGATGGTTGTAATCAATGTACTGCCTCTTAGGTTCTGAGTAGCCACCAGCTGAGCCTTGATAAGCACCATCACCACCAAACTTACGCTTCTGCGCACCATAGCCACCATCACCTCCACCTCTGCCACCCCTTCCTCTAGGAGGACCACCACGTCCACCCCTGCCTCCACGACCAAAGCCACCACCGCCACTGCCACCACGAGGTCCACCTCTACTTGGCCCACCTGGACCACCACGGGAACGTGACCCCCTCGGCCCACCTCTTGAGCCACCTTGGCTGTAGTAACCTCCTCCACCATATCCTTCATTTCCATACCCACCACCATAACCACCACCATACCCACCTCCTCCATAGCTACCATCGTCATAATAGCTGTCATAATTGCTTCCACTATCATAACCTCCATATTGGCCATACCCACCACTGTTATCATACCCTTGGTCATATCCCCCTCGCCCACGACCTCGCCCTCTGGGTGCTCCACCTCTTAGTTGGTTTCCACGAGGACCTTGCCCCATTCCGGGGCCTCCTCTTCGCCTACTGTCCCTGTTTGCTGGTTGTGGTTTTGCTAGGGACACACTTATAGAAATGTCATCCCACATCTGTTGGTCTAGTGCATTTATCGCATTCAGTGCATCCTCACGTTCTGTGAAGTGAACAAAGGCATAATCTTTGAGCTTTTTAACTCTTTCTACAGTTCCAAACTGGCCAAACTCTTCTTGTAGTTTCTCCTCTGTGATGACAGGTGACAAGTTTCGGACATACACCACCTTCACCTATACAAGGGATTGAGAGAGTTAAGAGGTCAGGCATGTTTCATCTCTTTAACAGCTACAAAAGTAAAAAATTTAAACCATGGTTAAGTTAAAATGAAATCATATCTTCTTCTGCCATGGAGAAAACATCTCAACCACCAGTACTTTGCTTTGATTTTTTTTTTATTGTTCTTCCTAAAGACAATGGCTCTTCTAAAAACTGAACAACTTCTCCACGATCACTAAAACAATGCTTGAAATATGCAGGCTTAAAATTTAGCAGAATTATTTTTTTTCTGGTAACCAGGGACTAATGAGACAAAATCTAAATTAAGAATCATTACAGAAAGTTACTGATTTTCAATTTTTTTTTTATAAAATGTTCCTTGTGATCATAGAAAAAAGGATTTCCACCTGATATAAAAACAAAAATAACCTTGATTGATTACTAAGTAGCCAAATTCATTTTCATATACTAACCTTTGCCATAACTTCATCATTAGGCTCTTCCTGTGGATCAGCCCACTCAACCTTGGCCACAGCCATTCCCCAGACATAAACTTTACCACTCTGAAGCCGTCGCTTTGCCAGTGCAGCTGCTTTGTGGCTTTCATACTCTAAGAATGCAAAGCCTCTGTTTTTGCCTTTTTGCTCTGAAGACAAGTAAACAATGACATCGGTCAAATCAGAGGTGACTCTTCCAAATTCCTCCAAAATTTCTTCCTTGGTCTTGCTCTTTGGAATGGATCCAACAAAGAGACGGTTGTTTGCCACTGAAATGCAGACTCCTAACTTCTTGCCAGGTCGAATTTCCTTATTGTCAAGTTTCTTGACTGCACTCTGTGCACCAGCTTTAGTTGCATATGTACAGAATCCATAGCCTCTATTAAGTCCAGATTCAGGTTCCATCATGAGACGGAAGTCAAAAATCTGACCACATTCTTCAAGGAGTGGGATTACTTCATCTTCAAAGCAGTCGCGTGGGATCTTCCCAACAAAAACCTGACAGCAGCCTTTCTGTAGGACAATAATTTTGCAAATAAATCAGTTTCACTTCACTCGTGTAAGTCATTTGAACTTGTTTGGTTTGATTGAGTTTGTCAAAAAAGGAAGTTTGCGGAGAAATTCCCTCCATTATGAGTTATTTTGATTTGTTTGGTTTGATTTTATCTTGTCATAAAGGAGATCTTCAGGCAACCATCTTTAAAAAATGATTTCATAACCATTTGTATATGTCATTAAAGGAAATTTCATGCAGCCATTCATTTAACAGGTTTATCCTTATAATATGGCCTTACATGTGTTATGTCCTCTCTTTTAGGTATTTTTCTTGGATGCGTGTTCCAGTATAATTCCTTATTTAGTGAGTCTTCAAAATCAACCGAGCTTTCATAACTCACAAATATGAAATAATTTGTGTAAATAAACCCACTAGCATGCTTATAACTTGAAAATTAATATAATTTATCTAAAAATGTTCTCTCTAAATTATTCAAATCTTTAAAAAATTACCGATGATGATTTTATTTTTTCGAGCGAATAATTGAATCCAAGAGGGTAATGTTTGCTAGAACCCGATTGAATTATCTCAAATACATGCAGCCACAAATATTTCATCGACATAGACAGTTGGACTTCCATCATGCTTCAATTCCAAGTAAGGCTTGGTACCTTCGGTATTAGAAAAATAATTTTACTTACTTCACTACCACCTGTCCCGGGTACAGGACCTTCCCAGTTAGGTGGTGGACCTCCATATTTCCTCTGTCCCGAGGTGATATCTAACGTATAACCTGTTCTCTCTAATAAAGCTTTTATCTTCCCTTCGTCGGCTTTACTGGGCGCTCCCTGGTTGCTAGAGGTATCAGCGCCTGTCGTAGAAGACTTTGTGACGTAGGTTTTCATCACTCCGCAAAGGAAAGCGCTCTTATTTTGCACATGAGATAAGTCACTGTTCGCAAATTGATCTAACACTTCCAAAGCGCCGTCTTGATTGAATTCGCGAAGAGCTTCGAACGCTCTGTCATCGAGTTCTTCAGGAGAAAGAATCCCCAAAGCAAAGATTTCAGAAACACGTTGAGCAACGCTCTCGCTGAGTCCTTGGTTAACGAGCATTTGAGGCTCCATCTTATCGATTAAAAAAGTTACAAACAGGGTTCAGATGAACTGCATAGAAAGTCTAGACACAAAAACGTTATATTTCACAGCAGCGTCAGCTAACAGTTAATAGCACGCTTGCTTGAGGAAAACGTGCTGTCTCTGTAAGGGGTGGACGCTTACTTCTGGCAGGGGTAGCGAGCAAGAATTCCTCCCCACCCTCCCATAGATAGTAACTATCTTGTTTCCAACCGAGGCTGTCGCCTATGGATTTGTAAGTAATATTTTATCGCTTTTCTCTTCTAGGGTTTCTTTTTCAGTTTTACTCTTTGTTTGTTTGTTTTTTTTCACAATAGCAGTTTTCCTCGTAAGTGAATTTCCACACATAGGGATCCAAAGAGCTGCAGAAAGAAACAAACAAAAAATTGTGAGAACTCATGCCTGTCTCATCGAAAAAAAGAAAAAAAAAAAAGGATTAAGACAACCAAAAAAGCTGTGGTTAATGTCATTTTTTAGCCTACTTCAAATGGAGAGCCTGTTTGGGCTTCCTGTTCATTCTTTTCTTCTCCCTTTTTTTAAGTTTAGATTTAAGATTTCGTAAATCAAAGTTATTTCTGGATTTTTTCTTACATATGTTTTGTTTAAAATAATACTGAAAAACACCAAGATCTATTTGGGCAGAAATATTTCCTGTACCATTTTTAGTCTGGCATTTTAATGAAAACCAAATGAAAACCATATTTCTCCAAAGAAAGAATTATTATACCTATTACCACTTCTAGATGTAAGCTGCAAGCTATAACCTTTCCTTTCGTACACTACAAAAAAAATTCTGACTATGAAAAGGATATTCACAGTAATGAACACTACTTAAGCAATATTGAAAATAAGGCCTTAAATTTAAAGTTCATGCCTTAAGGGATTTGAACCTATGACCTCTGAAATACCACTGCAGTGCTCTACCAACTGAGCTAACAAGCCAACTCAGAGCTGGTCATTATGTTGGTTCGAAATAAAAAAAATGTCTACAAGATGATCTAGAATGTATGGATATTTCAAAAGTGACGATTAAATATTTTCTTCAAACCAAATAAACAGAGGCATAATGCTATCTTCAGGCTTCTCATTAACATTTCATGATCTTATTACTTCTTTGTAAATACCCAAAATGACAATAAATAATTGGTAAGCTAAGTAGTCTGATTGTCAAGGTAGGAGTACTGTAGTCCCTAAAAGGATTGTTGCTAGCAATAATGATGGATGCTTCTACAACCTGAGAGGTCATCAATCATTAGATTCATCTAAAAGACTTAACAATAAATAATCATCTGGATTACAAAAGCTGTTTTCCAGACTATAAAATTAGTCTTCTATTCTAAAACCATATCAAGCAAAGCTTCTGAGAACAGTTAATTTAAACTAGGAAATCATCAGGTGGAAGAAGTTCAGGTATTTCGTTAAAACCTGGTATCAAAAACTTCCACAAATTCTCTCTACGATATAGTAGAAGTTTACGAAACAACAACTTCTTTCTTTGCAAGCACCTCTCTAATAAAATGTTCGTAAACCATTCTTTACAAGTTAAATTTTGACAGGTCTTTAAAAAGTCGATCATGGACATGTCTACAATGAGAAGAAAAGTGTGAAAGCAACACATCATCAAGATAAAGGTAAAGAGGAAGCTCACAACAAGGAACATTACGGCATAGTCTCCCAGTTCACCGCAAATTCCAACTTTGTAGGAAGGTGAATCAGAAGGGTAATCTAGCATGCAAACCACAAACGGCGTATAAGTAGAGTACGCAGCGAACAAAAGCCCTAAGAAACAGTACACCAGGAACAGGTAAAAGTGAGCGTAGTTATTCAGTCCAACGCAGTTATTGGTAAACGGACAATGATGCGACATAGACATCACACAAGAGTTGCATGAACTACAGTGATGAGTCCCTTTGTCACGCACACGAGTACACTTTGTACAAAACTTTAACGATTCCAGATGGATATCTGTGTCTTCTTCGAGCTCTTGTCGTGTTTCTGGATAGCCTGGTGAAACAATCATCGCCGCCAAGTAATTGAATACCATATTAAGCCAAAGATAGCAAGCGATGACGATGTAGCCCACACCTTTGAAAGACGAGTAGGGGTTATCAACTTCTATGGGCAAACTCTTTAGGAAGAAGAACCAAATTGCAGAAGCAAATATAAAAAGAACAGGTGTAATCTGCAATCCTTTTAGAAGCCTATACAGCCAAGTTTTTCTTGATCCACGAGGGAATAGAGTTTGTAAACTGCTGATGATAAAAACGCCCTGAATAAGTCCAACAGACAAGATCATAATCCAAACAAATGCCATCTTGGCCAAGATCACGCGAGTGAAACTGGGAACGAGTTTATTTCCTGGTTAACGTCTTCGTTTAGAGATCAACATGGCGTTCGTTGTGATTGCACTGAGCGCCAGTATGGCTGTCGTTGTTGTAGGCGCTTTCATCTTCCAGATCCTTCCAAGGCTGTTTCCAAAACTTAAGACATTATTGCCCTCGCAAGCTACGATCAGCTACCTGCAGATTGTGCCCATAAGCTTTATTTTTCCAACTCTTATGTGGCTGTTCTTCTCAATTTACGTCCACGCTCACGTTCCCGGGGACGCATTCTCCTCGTTGCTAGGGTGGTGGCACACCTTTTTCACATGTTACATGATGACTAACGCTGTTTTCTATTACTACATGACCGTCTTCGTTTGCCCGGGGTATCCTCAACACCAGGACGCCTACACTCGAGACAGATGTTTCGTGAAAAGCTACCAAATTTGTGTCAAGTGTCGACGGGTTCGAAATGCTGGAACTCATCACTGCAGCTGGTGTCACACTTGCGTCGAGATGATGTGTCACCATTGTCCTTTCACTAACAACTGCATCGGCCGCCGGAATTACATCTACTATTACACGTTCTTGGCATATGCGTTCTTTGGTTTGTCGTATGCAAGTTACCTTGCCTACTTTCCGTTTTCGAATTGTCTCTCTGGATATGCTCTGAAGAAATTCAAAGAGACTCTGCTTAGCATGCCTCACTTGAGTGTCCTCAATCGCTATTCACCTCGTTCTCAATCAGCGAAATCGATGTGGGATACTTTTAACAGTATGGAAGTTGGCGAAGGCTGTGAAGAAATTCAGGATTACGCCGTCTTGTTTGCCCCCACAGTTGCAATCACCGTATTCCTTGGAGCATTATTTTTCTTCCAGTCGTTCCTTCTCCTCGCAGACATGTCGATAGTCGATTTCTACGACTCTCTCTCCAAGGCCTCTTCATTTCAAGAGCTTCTTCGAATTTGGTATGTCAGCATTTTCAAGCGAAAGAAGTATCGATTTATGCAGTTGATCCAGAACAAAAAAAGTCAATGGTGGAGATTTTTCGTCCCTTGCCCCACCGATGTGGAGAATGACTTACCTCCCAAGGACTTGTAAACGACGGATTTTGTCAAAGGGAAGGGGAACTCCCTCAAACTGAATGCAATCAACAAAAAATCATGGGATAGAGAGGGATCATTATGAAAGTAGTTGTTTTCTTTTTCATTTTAACTGAAAGGGAAGTTTGTTCCTTCTCCCTACACCCTACATGTAGATGTATGCATTTTCAATTCTCACTGAACCCCGTAACTCCAATGATCTAATCGTTTATTCTCCCTATTTTCTGCCACACATTTACTTGTGAATTAGTTACAAGGATTTGTTATTAGGTTCAGAAAATAACTTACACCTGATAAATTTGAGCATTCTCATTACCTGTTTGCTGGATAATGCATGGATATTATAGGGAGAAGTTACATGTTAATCACTTCTGAGAGTTAAAGGGTTAAGTAACACATCTCCTTTTCAGGTTATTTTCCTCATCAATTTATCTCCAAGCTGGCTTGCATTAAACTGTTTTCACTAATATCATCAGATCAAAAGATTTTTAGTGCAGCCATGTCAGGAAATAGACTTTCATTCATGAGATCCTATGGATTAATTAGATGGAATTGATACACCCTGACTTGGAGCAGGATCTCCTTTTGTTTCCTCATGTTCTCTGTAGCGCTGTAACCTCTTTCAAGATGGGGAAACCATTTCAGAAAATCAGAGTTTTGTTTAATGGACTGGTGGAATTAACTTATCTCAAGTCCTAGACTAACATTGCTTCCCTCTTTGTCTCTTTTTTGTCTTGATGTAACCTTGCAACTTTTTCCAGAATACAGGATGAGATAAAGGCTAAATATACTGCTTGTCATCTTGTAAGCATGCAAGTCATTGGTTTTATCTCTCTCAAGGTTTCCAGGATTAATATTTTTACCTTAAAGTTATCTTTAAGTGTTGACTGCAAAGTAAATGGTACTTCTTGCTGTTCTGGTTTTCTGGAAAGTTTATAATTAAGGTAATCTCCTAATGCATCTATTTGGCTGTTGTATTGAAGTCTCCTATATAGTTGTATTTTTGTAACTCATTCTTGTCTCCAGCCTGTCTTGCTTATTTAAGGCTTGATAGTATATTCTGTCATAACCTTTTGGAAGATATTTTTATTTTGAAACAGTACTGAAGCTCCCTCAGATGCCAAGAACGATTAGAATAGTTTGCTGCCCTTTGAAAAAATAAGTTAAAACTCTTTATCTAGAGGTCAAACTTAGATCAATGTAATGCAATCCTTGGAATAAGGTAGTTTTTCTCCCCTTTTGGCAGGGAGGGATGATGGAGTTGAATGACATCTTGTTGAATTAAATAATCAAAATATATTGCACTGTTTTGCAAGTTCTATGCTTGAAATAGAAATTGAGATTGAAAGTTTTACAAAATATTGTTTATATTATTTATTGCACATGAATTTGTGTTTAAAGCATATAAGAAGTGTGGTATAACAGAAAGGTTTACCAAAGATGTTGTTTATATCATAACACTTCCTATGAAATGTTTGTTTTCCTAAGTTATCACAAATTTTAAGTGTTGTAGAATTAATGCAGTAACTCTTGTAAGGAAGGTTTACTGGGTATCTTTAAATTAAATTATGCTGTGTGAAAAAGCACTTAGTAAATAAATCATTCACTTTATGTGTCACATTGGGCTCTGTATTCGTTCTCTTCTTTTAAAGATCAGTCATTTTCAATAGGATTATGGAGAAATTTTTTATTTCCTTCCGCCAGGAATAACGTTTTCCATAAGTAGCTGTTGATAGTGAGAGGCTGTTCTGCAAGGTGAAAATCAAACAAGAGAGCCTGCTTACAGGCTAAACAGGGTGAGAGGTCATATGGGTGGTGGCCCATGCAGCTTCACTTCGACTCTTTATGATAAGAAATGTGGTTGCCAGCTGTTTCATACCCATGGTAATTTCATACCCAGTCAATTTGTACCCAGCTTGGTTGTTTCGTACCCAAACTAATAAAGTATTTTTTCCATGTTGACAATTGGAGAACAAAACATCACACTTACACAAGCTGTTATTGTCAAAAAAAAAGTCACCAGTGTAAACAATGGACTTTTTTTATTTAAAATATCACACTCCTTTTATGCTAGGCAGTAATTTTTAATTATACATGTATACATAACATATTTTTTGTTTGTATCTTACTCACTTACCTCTACTGAATTGTGCATATGGTGTTTTGAATAAATATATGAATCAATCAGCAGCTTGGATACGAACAAACTCAAACTTGGGTATGAAACAACTGAGTACAAAATGACCAGATACCTCAAATATCACTTCAAAATTCATATTTTCACAACTATCCACCTCAAATCTCTGGCTCTAGCAGCAAACATTTCAATTCCATTTGAAAGGCATAACCCATCTTGTAAACAAAATTGGTCTTGAGATGTAGAAAAGAAGAAAGAAATGTATCCGCGGAAAATACTTTACATCCATAGTTGTTCCCATAAATACGACATTTACAAATGATCAACTCTTATCAGTACACAAGCAGCAACAGAACCACGTCAATGTAAAACTGTTGACAGTTGTTTCATTGGTACACAAATAGAGCTGTCACATTATTCATATTCAGATGTTCTGAGCCAAACATGGCTTAAGTTTTACGTCCAAGTGTTATGTACTCCTAGGATCATGATATTTAATTATGCATACATGAAATAGCTCAAACATTAGTACCCACAACACAATAAATATTTAAAATGCATCAAATGACACAAATACTTCTACAATGATAAGGAAATTTTTTACCAATACTCCTATATTATCATTAAACGAAAATGATACTGTCATGTAAACCTTGCAGCTTACATATGGTGCAATTAAATTGCTGTACATATGTAAAAAGTCTCACAACAAATGACTGGCAAATTAACAAATGTTACCCTTCCAATTTTACTTTATCACTGAAGACCATGCAACTCCTCCAGTCAAAGTTTCTTGATGGAATAACACTATCACTTAAAAGCTGTTGGCATATCACAAATTTAAGAGTGCAAATTGCTGACACATTCTTGTCTTTATATAGTACCAAATTGAGTACAGACTGGTGTGTACATGGTAAAAGGACCTATTTTACAATTTATTTCTCAAAGAAATATTTAGTTCAAATTTTTCTTGTTTATTGCTTGGTGTCTTTATTAATTGTTTCCATTCCTTAACATCTTGCTTCTCTTTGGTTTATTTTTGCCCCAACAAAAATATTATCCTCAGATTTACTCAGTTTCAAGACAGTTCTTATATAATTTACAACATACAACAATGGCTGCAACAACTAAAATTGAAATGATGTACCACTAAATCTCTCAGGAATGACCAAAGAGAAATTTTTCCTATAATGTTGATACTCTTTCAAGCAGAAAGGTATTGGGGTTATAGCTTGACTAACACCAAATCCTCAGAGCTCAACTTACAAGAAATTTATAGCAAACAGAGCAAAGAATCGTTAATTAGATCTCATGAGTGATTGTGATGTTCCTTATTTGTTCAAGTAAAAAAGGTGCAAATACTGCTGTAGTATGTTGTCAGCTAGTGCAATCCTCTAAACCATATTTTCTGCTGAGAATGTTCACTGTTTGATCATAGGCACTAGAAAGAAACAAAAATAGCTCTGTAAGTTTAAAATGCCCAATAGATAGTAAAATGGACTTTTCATTAACTTTTTTACCTCTTAGAGTGACTAGTGTCCTATTTCTCCCCACAATGTCACCCCTGAATCAAACATGAAGGTCACAAGAATAAACAAAATGATCACCAACTAAAGAAGCTCTTGATTGCCAAACAAATTCTCCTTGTCAGCAACTTAGGAAATGTATAGAGAACAGTATGGAGAATATGCATACTGATGTTAAGGTGTAACGGGTTAAGGATAAAATGGTTGTTATTTCGCAACCCCTTGACAATAATTTCGTGGAAAAGGTTGTGGTTATTCATCGTGGTGAATAACAATAAAAGCTAAGTTTTTCGTTTGTCTCACGATGTAGTCACGTGTGATTTTACCCTTGACAATAGCTTGCATGGTAGCTCTGTACACTCAAATTAAATTAGTTTACTGATACGTTGAAATCAGGGAAACATGGTTGCAATAGATATTTAAAGCATGACTGTGACCAGCAAAGCAGTAATCAGAGATTCAAGTTTCTGTTCCATTACCTGCCTTCTCTGATGATAGAAAACTTGCCGTGAACTGACAAATTAACAACAGTTGAACCTTTGCGACACTGCTCAGTCAATCCTAACACTCCACCATCAAGAATTAAATCTAGTTTTGGCCAAATTTCTTTAAATTCCTGAAACAAACAGGTATCAAAAATTAAGTACTCCCAAGAGTGACCAAGACAGAATTTGTCCTTAAAACAACCATACAATATCAAGAAGACAAGAAATTAGATTTTAAAAAAAATTGTCCTGATAGGGATTATTAGTTGATCCAATACCAAATTCCCTGAACTAGCAACATGACAGTTGTATGACAGACAGTAAGGATAATCACTAATGATTTCTGGGAGTGAGAGGGTTATTGGTTTTCTATACAAGGAAACATATGAATGATAAAATTATCAAACTACTAATTCTGATTGTAGCTTTTACTGATTTTCTTTCCCAGCCCAGCCAACTTTACATTGGTTGGGCTGAGTTGCCCAAATACCAATTATCCTTTTTCTTGGGTTACTTGTATGACATAACATTTTTCAGGAGGTAAAACTTGGATTAGCACTTATCACATTTTTAACTTCTTGGGCAAGCCCTGTGCATAGAATTACCATACCTCAATTTTCAAACTGCTTTGTCCCACAGTGCTCACATTTGCGCTTGTCAAAGCAAGTGGTTCTTCACATGCTAAACTCAATTGCCGCACAAAATCATGATCAGGAATTCTGATTCCAACAAGTCTTGTTGTTGGATTTAACCCAGGATTTAACTGCTCAGTCCTTTCAAATACTAATGTCACAGGCCCAGGAAGCAAGTCTTGAAGAATTTCTTTACTCACAGTCACTTTTCCCCATCTGAGAATCCAAAAGAAATTAAGTAAACTGCTATGTGATAATGGGAATAACAAAATTCAGCTACAGAAAGCAAGGATTTCAGATGCAATGCTGATCAGCTATCTGAGATCTTTTAGTCAGCCTGTACACAGCAATCCTTGAGGACAGCCATGTTAACATTCTGTAGCTAAGGAATTCACCTCTACAATAAAGATCATTGAATTCTTCTAGAAAGACCCCTGGATATTTAGTAACTGAACTTGCTATAGAGGGAAATAGGTATTTTTGCTAAAAACAATTTTTGTAGTTAGTGTCTGTCAAATAAAGTGCATTTATAAGAAACATTTCCTGTGGCTGGGGCTAAACCAGATCAACTTAACCTCATGTAAACATAAAGATCCCTGGTTTCCCAGCTGCAAAATTACTTTAGCAACCTTTTTTATCTTGCCAATAAACAATAAACAAGTGTTGACAAGAAGAGTAAGACTGCATCTGAAATAATGACCTGCATTGTAAATAAAAAAGACCGTGGGCAATCAACAAGTAGTTCAATCAATAAGTATAAGAAAAAAAGCTTCCATTTTTCTTTGGTTGTCAAATTCTGTGAATTTTTCTGGAACATGGTTGCTGTTTTCCACCACCTCTGATTCAGAGGTTGCTTTTAAAATCATGCAGATGTAGTCATACAGTCACAGTATTAACTGCTTCGTTCTTTAAAAGACAAATAATTTTCAGTTATCTGGCATGATTTCACTGATTTAGATTTAGTGAAAAGTGATATCTTAGAACTTCTGGAGCTCCCCATGATCGTTACAAACCCTGTCAAACAATTAATCAATTAATCAAACAATCAGTCACTCAATCAATCAATCAATTATTGTAGAGGTTAGCAAAGAGGGATCCTGATTCCGTGTGCTTTAAACAGTACTTCCACAGCACAAATTTAAAAGGGGAAACCTTAAATCTCACTTTTCTTTGCCTTTTCATAAAATCCATGCATCATGCATTAATTCTGGGCTTAAACCCTTTGCTGCCCTCAGAAAATATCAACTTCCTTGAATCATCCAATTGTTTAATTCCTACCCACAGGACAAATCTACTGGTCCCCTATACAGTGTGCTGAAACTCATGAATTTTTTTAGGGATAGCTGTACTTAGATTAACTTTTTTAAAGCACTCTGTAATCAAAGGCATCATTTTAGCAGCTCAGGGTCTTAGGAAATGACAGATAGTCCATCAGTAGATCTTACTTATATACATCTTCCAAGTTCCCAACACATATTGCAACTGGCTTCTCTTCATGTCGCCTCTTGATTTCATACAACTTAGTGACTGCTTCAGTGGACTGCGCCAAGGCTGCTACCCCATAGATGGTATCAGTTGGAATAGCAATCACATTACCACTCTTAAGTGACTTGACAGAAGCGTTGATGATACTTTCGAGATTTGGAGCATTGTCTACAACAAAAATTTCATAACTAAGCCGAATTGAAAAGATCTTGGCTATCATTTTCTAGATAAATTTTAGGCTGTTTTATTGTTTCTTACAATTTCGGTGACGTTAAGGAAGAAAGAAGTGTGTTTCTCTGACATCAACTACGTACAATACTTTACAAACATTCTTCATAAGCTCACCTTCACGCCCAACAACTTCAGGTCGCTTTTCGATTGCTGTGAGAGAAATTTTTACAATTTTTGCCGACGTATTCATGATGAAAAGTCGCAAGTCGAGAATTTAAAGTCCTCTTTTCCACAAATATATGCACTGAATTTGGAAAACACTAACAGACTTGGAATGGTACCACTACGAAGCTAGTTGCACGTGTCTGCCATATTTGTATCCGATGTTGTGTGTTAGGAAGCTGGAAACCAGAGCAGTACCCAGGCTCCTCTGTCGCTTTATCAGGGGCTCTACCGCCTTCCGCGTCCCTTCTACCTTAAAGTTTGTTGAGACGTTTCTTATTCTCTTGATTGGTTTTCATGATTAAGAATACTTTATATTTTTGTTGACCTCTGATTGCACCTTAAAGATTGATGGATCGAGTCTGTAGATCTCCTTCCTGGTTTGTGTCTGACAAATTAAGTTCTTTATTGGAAAAATCAATCCGGTATTGTTAAATGACTTTTGCATACAAGTGTACAGAGATCAATACAAGTAATCTAAGAGTGGCATAAAACGGAGCGAAGCGCAGAAAAATGTTGGTGCAAAACTTACAACAACTTGCGATCATGATAATAAATTACCTTATACGACTTAGACCGCCTAGTTTATTCCAATCGGGATAGTTTCGCCTATCATACCAACATGTTTTGTTTTCTTGCCTTATTATTTTCCAATTCCATATCTATGTGTACAAGTAGGAATTACAATGCCTTCTCCTCAGGTTTCTGGCCTCTGGACCAGAAACTCTGCGGGAGCAATAGCGAGCGCACTTACCATCTCATTTTTTCAGCTCTACCCCGATACAACTCTCGGGCTAATTTCTACTCCCAGGTGAGTTGTAGAGTTACGAGGGTGAAGGCGAGGAGAGGGGAGGGTGTGTAGGGGAGGTAGCTCAAGTGCATAAAGTTGGCCAGGCTGACAATTTTATTCATATAGTATTAATCTGTCTTCAACAATACATTTTCATTAGACTTCATTTCAATTATTACTTCTTGTGTTCCATTTTAATTATACTTAATGCTAAAAAACATTCAATTAACTTTAGTAAATCCTGGTTTAATATTGGAACTACGCTTTGAGCTTGTTGAACAAAACCACCTCTTAAATGATTGCCTTCCCTTCTATTGCACGTTTTATAAATATGAAAGCATTTTGCTTTCTTATATAAAAAAAAAAAAAAAAAAAATGTTGCAAAGAAAGGTTTACGAACTTCTAACCTTGTTCCGCGGGCTATTAGGGGAAATCCCTGGGAACTAAGGTTATGAACCTCAGGTCCCACGTACCCTGCTTCAATTGCATGAATCTGTATGTCAAGGCTGAACGCGGGGCTAACGCGACGTAAGAAGGAAAACTAAAGAAACATTCATTACATACTTTGGAGTAAAATAGAAATCATATCCGATGGATGAAAATTTTAAGTCGCCAGAGAAGTTAAAAATTTGTGTGTTTAAAAACAGTTGCTATTCGTTTTGTTACGAGTGTAAAACAGGGAAAATTCTAAGTCCTTACGACCACGAGCAATTGATTTCCAGACCCTCGGATTTGGATCAGAGAGCTGTAGAGGACATGGGAACAGCGTACTGCATACAGGTAAGATCAGCTTTTTCGAAGGCGTCGTGTGTTTAGATAAGAATTCCCAACTCGGTCGTTGAATGAAGAATAAACCACCTTTTTACTTAACCCATTACCGTCGATTTTTTAAACTTTCAAACTAATCTTAACGCACTTCTTAAGCTAAGGTATTTGAAACTCGATTGACGCTGATCCTAAGTCACCTGGGTATTCAAACGTTTAAATGCGGTGATCATGCTTCGAACAACTCAGATCTCAAAGACTAAATATTTAGACGCGTTCACGTGTCGTGGTTTTCTGTGTTGAATTTTCCAAACATGGTACGTAATTTTAAACATCTTGAACAACTCACAGCTGCTTAAATGATTTCCTCCAACGAATCAAGTGATCGGCGGCCACTCTGTAAGGCGTCATGCGTAGAGCAATGATTATCGTCAAGAGATCGACGATTTAGAGGCGACCCATCCTCGTGCCTTGGTGAAGATGCGCTGTCATTTTCTGGTGGGATCTTGTTCTCTAATGTCTTTCTTCTTCTTCCTGCTACGCTTCTATTCAGCAACCCTGCTTTCGGTTTCTTCTCTCTGGTAATTTGCTCTTTTGCCGACTTCGATTCAGTGGTAGAAAGTCCAGTTGGATTTGATGAAGGCACAGGTTTGGCAGTCTGAGTGTCCTTCACACTACAACTTATCTTGAGTCCAGAGCTGCGCTTTTCCTTTGCTCGTTCAACACCAGCGTGCTCCTGTATCAGAGATATTTTTACGCCTTCGACGGATGAATCGTGTTTTAAGGGTGCCTTGATTGTGGCAGGTTGCAAGCGAGATCTCAGTAATAAACTGTCTGGAGGTTTTGAGGACTCTGTGTTATCTTGAATTTCCACAAGCCTACCTAATGTGTTATTTATACTTTTCAACAGTTCTCTACCTCCCGATGTGGCGACTGAATGGCGTTTACTCGGAAATCGCCTTTCAGTGGACGGAGAATAGTAAGCATTCCGCCGCGGTTGCGCATGTCTATTTTCAATTCCATTGTGCTGCGCGTGATCACCGCGTGATCTCGCTTCGTGAGCACGTGTCACAGAGTCTTCCTTTTCTTCCTGAGGCTTTATCGCTGTCAATTGGCAGCATAGCCCGTAAGGTGGCAGTGACGGAGAATCTCTGTTTCTCTGCTTTGCATCCGTAGAAGACATGGTTGAATTGAAGTGGAAGGGACTGGGAACATGTTGTCTTTGCTGAGTAGTTCCCAGGTTCCTGGGCGGTAGAAAGGTCTGAGGAAGGGAAAACCGTCTGTGGTTAAATTTTACCTGTGAAAATTAAAAGAAAAGTATGAAAGACCACAATTTTCTTTTTGCTGAATTTTACCAGAATTTCACCGCACCCTAGGAATAAGGGGTGTGTCTTTCTTTCTTCTCGGAAGGCACTCACTCTCTGCTTGATACTTCAGTAAAAGCACTGATGGTTTCAAATACTAAACCCAGTGTGAACCTCGGAAACGACGAATCAGCTAAAATCGTAAGAAAACCTCCAAAACTTTGTAACAATGGGTTTTGCCGCCCACCTTCACCTTGCTTTTCATCACTCTTTGCTGTTTTTTGTTGTCAAAAAAGCAGCCTTTGCGAAAATTCAGTCTTCGTTCGCTCTGCGTTACTAAAACGCCCCGTTTGCTAAGCACCTGTAAACTAACTCTAAATTAAGTAAAGTCGCCCACGGCAAAAAGGAAAGCCGGAAAAGAATAGACCAGTCAGAAGAATAATTTCTGGACTGTCGATAGTTCGAGGTAAGGCTGACGAATATATCGGGAAGACAAAACACACACTAGAAGGAACCGCTTACAAGAAGTAATATACCGGCAGCTCTTTGCTAGAGCCGACGTAACGGAAATGAGCTCGGCTTGGTGAATGAGTCTTAAAACTGGAGTGCTACGTTGAAAAAAAATTGTCGTCTTTTTAACGAAAAATTTCTGGAAAAATTTCTGGCTTAACATCTAAATGTAAGATTTCTCGAACGTTACCATTTTTTGACTTTACACCCTTCGACTACTTTGTGAAAGCGAAAGTTAAATCGTTTTTTCGATAGGTAGGGGAAATAAAGCCTGCAAATTACCTTTTCAGGAAATTCCATTTTCATCGGTTGCAGCGGAATAGAAATAATCTTGGCATTAATAGGAGAAACTTTGCCTATAGATGGCGTATTTGGAGCCGAAAGCCTTGGAGAAATTCTCCCCTGGGGCGCGACAGACTTTGTTTCAGAAATGCGTCGCGAGGAATTTTCATGATTATTGACAGTACTCTCTTTTCCTTCTTGCTCGTTTTTCTCGTCTAAATCTACCGTGGCAGATTTCTTGCTCGTCTCGGCTTTGCTTTCAACCGAAATATGCGACAGCCGGCGACCATTCACTGCCATGACTTGTACTGAAGAGTAATTGCAGGAATCCTTTCTGGAGATTTCAATCCCGCCGTCACTTAGTACGCTACAGGTTCTATCTTTCTGTTCAGAAGAATTATCTTCGTCGATTTCATTGATAGATTTCTCTGAAATTGGATCATCTTGATGTAAACTTTTGGGGTTTTCTGCAAGTTCTTCATCCAATTTAGACAAGTTCTCCTTGCTTGGAGAAGAAAGTTGCTCCCGTCCTGCACAGGGAAGCGTTAACTTCTCTGACTCTGGCTTTGTTTCATTCGGAGTAGTTTGCTTTTTATCATTAAAATCACAAGCGTTTACGGTCGTAACTGCAAATTCGCGTCTCTTTTTAGACGAATTCCTAATTTCTAACTCTGGCGTGGCTGTTGAGGAATTGCGAACGGGTTCCGAGTTAAATGTGACGTCATTCATCACACGCCCAGCTTCTCCCGGGTGTTTGACATAATATCTTTTAAGTTTTCTTTGTAGAAGGTGATAGACAGTTGATGTAGCAGTAGATCTGTAAGGAGAAAAATAAAAATTATGTGAAGCGCATGTTTCTGTCACAAAGGGTTATTAAAGACAAGAACCTCTATATTTCAGCTTCCCTGCGTGAACAGTGCAATAGTTCAACTCTGGTTAGGGCGTGGTTTGAGTACATTTTGATTAACTGTCATGGAACCAAAACCAAAGGAATCACATTGGCCGATCAAGTTAAAGATAAAGATCACAAGGAGCCAGTGAAAGCGCAAAATAAATTTCAGCGACTCCTCTCAGAAGCGCGGGAAAACGATAATAGCCAAGTTACGATTGGTTGAAAGTTTACATCTGATTGGTTAAGAGAGTGGCACGAGTTTTCTTAAACCAATTACGAAGATTAACCAAAGAGCGGTTTACAGCCTCGCTCTGAGAGTTCTCCGATTGCTCTCCATTCGTTTTCGACCCAAATTACTAAACAGAGAGTCATCTCCTGGATATGCGACTGCAAAAATCCAATTTAATCGATTAATATCTCTTTATTGATCACCTGTTTTTCGCAACCGCATCCACTATTTCTTGCTGTTTGAACTCCATCTTGTCAACCATATGTCTAACGATATTCTTGTCCAGTTCTTCGGGCTGCGGGTAATTCGGGAACACAATCGGGATTATGGGACCATCAAATCCCTTCTGTAACCACTCGTGGTTAAGGACCTCATACAATGTTATCCGATTTTCGCGGCTGAACGTCAGTAAACGCTGGACAAGATCTTTGCATGCTACCGACGGGAAATGCAAAAGTGTTAAAAATGTGTCGACGAATCGTGATTTTTTGGCAAGCAGAAAAAAAAATTACCCGACGATATCAAAAAAAGATAAAGAAAGGGAAATAATAAATTTATAACTTACACGAGGACAAATGATCTGGAATTGGATTCATGTCATTTTTTTTCATTTTATTATACAGAGTGTTTATGTGGAATGGCTCGGCCGAGTAGGGAAGTTTTCCTGTCAGCATGGCATACATGTTGACCCCGCTGGAAGAAAAACAAATATGTACGTTGTAGCATTAAGAAAGATGGTGAGTTTTTTTTAGCTTGTAAATGAAATTTACTCCAGGTTACTTTTTTATTTTTACTAGGGACACTTCCCCTTTTCACCTTTCTCAATTCATATCATATAGATGTTTTAGTTTTAAATGCAGATAGATAGCAAAGATCACCGCGTGCAACCGAAATCTGGAGATGTTTACGCGATTGGAATCCAAGAATAAGGATGTTTCGCAGCAGGAAACCCTTCGGATGTCATTGATGTTGACAAGTAAAAATAAGCTATTCACACTTTGGCGGGCTAAGGAGTTCAGTTGAAAAATACGTTTTTGTAAACAACTCGCGCGCGTTTTCATGTTTCACCAAAATTTTTCTTGAAAACTATAGCTAAAATAATAATGCCTAGTTGCCATGGAAAAAAAAAAACCTAAAAAAAATTGGCCCGCGAAGGTCTACCGTATCCTTAAGAGACTAATTAAAAATGTTGGAGTGAATAAAAATTCAATGGTACTTACATGCTCCAAACGTCCACCTCAGGCCCATACGGTTTGTGTCCCAAGATCTCTGGAGCAGCATAAGCTGGAGAGCCGCACTGGGTCTTAAGGAATTCCTTTGTGCTTTGACCGTCAGGTGAGGACACAAACAGTGTGTTACTGAGACCAAAATCTACAAGGAAAAATAACTAAATAGTTTAAGAGAGAACTACATCACCCCTGTGGGGAACGTGGTTACCCTGGCACGCTGAGACCGAGAAGTTCTGGTTCTGAAACACTGAGGACTGGGCAGAGTAATTGTGTTCTTGGACAAGATTATTTACTTCACAATGTCTCTCTCCAACCTGGAGAGTACATGTAGCACAGGGTACTAGTGAACTACCATAGAAATTTGAAAACAAGCACAAGGAAGTTTCATGCCACAGAAATCAGAATAAGCTCCGGCTGAAAAGGGCCACTTGCGACATTAACTACATCCCTGTATGCTCTCATTAATAATAGAGTAATATTAAATGTGAATTAAGTTTACCTATGATCTTGATATTATAGTCGTCATCCAAAAGTAAGTTTTCAACTTTCAAGTCCCTGCAGAGAGAAAAGCGCTTTTAATATCTCTTGCTCGATGATAAAGCTTTTAAGCTGACTTCTGTTTGATTGTCGTTTGTTGAAGATTAAGGAGGAATTTTTTAACGCGCCAATTGAGCTGCGACCAAAACGTCAAATATATTTTCCGCACAAACCTGTGGAGAATTCCTCCCTGATGTAGATAATGCACAGCCGACACAATTTGCCGAATAAATTTTCTAACTTCCACCTCGCCAAGTTTTCTTCGGTAACAAATGTAATCCATAAGATCTCCTCCGGCTGCAATCTCTGTGATTAAGTAGTATCTAAAAATCAAAAAGTCTACAGTTTTAACATTTTAAATACTGAAAGATTTATTCTAATTGTCCAGTACTTCATTTCGCAAAACATACACCGCTCAGTACAAAGCACAAATCCCATCATTAAAACTACAGGAAAAGTCTCGTTCCAATGTTGAAAGCCGGAAAGGAAAGGATACAGTGAAAGGATCATAGGACAAACGTTGAAATGCTGCGTGAGCTAACAAGCCTTGCAAGACCTTACTAGTTCTTCTCTTTTAAATTGCTGCGAAATAGCCCGAAATTACTTTAGATCGCTTATCCTCCAATGCATAAAGAGCATAAAATCCGACTACAGATTGTTCACGTTTTGATTTGGAACTTAACTCTACTTCCGCTTGATACGCTTTATTACGTACGAGAAGTTAGGATAAGATGATTCACCGAAGTAAATTTTCGTGTAAAGGAATCAGACTGTCAACTTAATCTCATTCACAATGGGACAGAATTACTAGGTAAGCTGCTAATTGTAACCCAAAGAGTATAAAATGTTTAAACAAGCTAATCTTTGCATGCGCTCATCTAAAATTAAAGGATTACAAAAGTCTAGACAAGGAATCTGATTACGTGCGATAAAACGGGCAAAATCTACCTCATTAAACCCAGAATAGAACTTACAAGAAGTACATTAAGTTTTAAATACAAGAATATCGGGATAATGTTTTGCCAAAATCTAAGTCGTCTCACCAGATTAGTTAAAATTACCTGTGTTCCGTTTCTACGACTTCCAGAAGTTGAACAATGTTTGGATGGCGAATCATTTGCATAATTTTCGCTTCTCGCCTCATGTTCCTGGCCACGTATTTGTCTTGATGGGCTAGCTTCTTGTCGATTATCTTAACAGCAACCTACAAGTGATGAACATATCAAACAAAATTAATAAATGGTGAATTGCTAGGATATTTCTAACTGTATGAGCTTTGAATATTTTACACAGATAACACAGACCCCACCAACTTGGCTTTCAATGGTTTTTGCAGGATAAAATCATTATGAGAACTTCTGCTCCCGTTGGATAGGACGCTTGTCGATAACCATTTATAATCCTGAGCAGAGAGAGGCATCGTGATTATACATTGTTTTTCCTTAAGACATAGCAATAGAACCCGAAAATTGACCCTGGCTGGAAACCAGACATTTCTACTAAGTCCAGCACAACGATTACTATAAGGTCACCAACATGTTTCTCTTTTATTCGTCGTTTCCTTTATTAAAAAAAAAAAACTTAGGAAAACGAAGAGCCCTTGGAGGAAAATATTCCCACAGCTCGAACCAGGATCAAAGTAACTTATCCCCAGAAATGCATTCGGAGCTTCACATTTTTCACCCGAGTTCCTAGATTAACGTGGCTGTCAAGTCCTCGGAAATCCAATATTACAACCGGCTTTGGACCGCAGCGCCGGTCAAACAGTTACAAAGCTAATGGTTTTAAAATATTTCAAACACTTTCCGACTGACGAGCTAACAATGAAAGTAACGTTCTCAAAGAAGGATGGGATCAGTTATTTTGTGGACCGTAGAAAATCTCCTACGAATTTCTCAGAACTTGCAATTTTGATCTCTTTACCATCTTTTTCTTTTTGAACCGCATTGGGGTTTCTCTTGTATTTTTACCAAATTGTCTCTAAGTCTTATTTTGTTTATGACGTAACAAAACCTAGTGTATTTATACTGTACTTGGGATACACTAACACTGACCCGAAAATTCTGGAAACAGCGGATCTGAGGTATAACTGCAGCTGATACATTGAGAGTTCACAGTGAAGAGTAAAGCTAAGAAGACCAACGAACTACTTTAACTACGCTTACAGGAGCCACGCACGCCTGTCAACAAGTTTTTCATTTATGAAAAAAAAACGAAACAAAACAACAAGGGAATGTCGCGGCCTTGCTTTCGTTCAGGAATTTGAAGACCCAGCTTTCGTCATATCCGAAGCACGAACCATTCATTTACGACAAAGCACATCAACCTTACAGGAATTCAAGATAAATCACTGACACTTCAACATCCTGATTAAACACGATTAAAGGTTGGTCCTTTTGAAGGGGCTGACAGCTTTTGAAATCCAGACAGAATGAGTACACCTTTAGCAAAATGGTTCCTGCCCATCTTAGGGTCACGGTAATTGAAGGTAAAAAAAAAAAGGAAAAAAAAAAAGAACCTCCGGTATTTATCATAAAATACCCTCATCATGTTCAGCGTTTACTTCTGGCGGTCGACTCTGATCGATGATACGATGAGTTCCGCGAGGGTGGTCGAAAAATCAATCTCTACTGCAGACAATAGTCCTTCTCAGGACTACGCTCACCTGGACGATTACACAAGAAACTCAAATGTTACTCCCGGGTTCAAACCACCAACTGTATAATAAGTAAACAGTTAACTTCATTTAAAACTAAGATATTTCTTTTGCCCTTAAAAAGAACAACTTTTTCCAAAGCCACCAGTTGGGCAGATATGCCAGATATTTTAATTGTAAGCTTTAGTCCTACTTCTTTTGCATTCAACATTTAAGCAATCAAGATATAACTTTCTCGAAACTTTCAAATTATTTCCATTAAATAACGAAAAGCGAGTTTGCATTTCTCTTTTGAGTCTTTCTTCAGTTTATCTCCCTACAAGCAAAATAAGACCGATTCAGTTCCAAGCAAAAACTAAAAATAATTATAGAAACTATACGTGATTTTCGGCGGTTTCTCTCTTTGCTTAGTTCCATTAACCACTTCAAAATGCCACAAAGAGCGGTATTCGATCTTGATTAGCCAGACTGGCGGCTCAATATGTCCGGAAACCGAATCTGCATTTGTGGTTTGCCGAATTTCTGCACGTGGAGGAAGGCCGCGTGCGTCAAAAACGCGACATTTTACATTTCGCCCGCGACACCTTTTTGGAGATCGTTCTTAACATTTTTTTTTTCTTAACTCGAAGTAATTAATATCCAAAGTATTATACAACTACCCTTGTCAAATTACTTCATACCAAGCAATCGTTCGAGCGATGTTTGATGAAAAACTTACACATTTCATTTGTAAAGATATCCACAAATATCTACCTGATCCCAAGTTCGCGCGCAGTTGTGAGGAATTCAGTGTGAATTGCAAATCCAATTAAGACCATTCACAAGCACAGCTTGAATGCAATGCATTCTTTTATACTTCTACATTTTTTTCGATTGACGGAGCTCAAAACGATTCAATTATTTCAAGCAAAATAAAGTTCTATCTAATCTTGCTGCACCATATGGAAGACAATTTTTAGATTTCTGGTTCAGAGGTCAACTTCATACAACATAGTCTATCGCAACAGAAGGCAATCAAAGAGTATTAACCCGATACACAATTTGAAATTGCTACTATCAATTGATGTCCAGGCTATTTTTTCATTGAGGGAAATCACTTTGTTATACCTGTTCGGATCGATTATTTGACGATCATCAAACCAAACGATAAAATTCCACTGCCGATGAATCGCGTGTAAAATCTACAACCAAAACGATAGCTTCGACAAGATTTCATTTGTCAAAGACATCAGTTTATACACAGGACAACCTTAAGTGCTATATAATTACTCTTTAAACTTACTATTCTTTTACAAGAACAACCTTTTCCTTCCTGAATATAATCGTTACCATAATTACTACAGTCACAAGAGTAAAGCCAATATCCAATTTTGAACCAAATTGCATCACGACATGATGTGCAGTTTGCCGACAGTTTTTAAAATAAAATTTTTTCTCTCTGGTTCCGCGCTACGCACACAGCAAGATAATGACTATCACTCGCTGAGTGATTTGAGAAGCTGCTTCTTCTGAATAAGGAGAAGTAAACTATGGTTGAGGCGTGATAAATCTCAACTGTAAATATAACACATGACTTTAACATGCTGCTACCGCAACAGCGGGCAATATCAAGGAGTCACGGATGAATTTGTTCAGTTTTTTTTTTCCACGAAAATGTATTTAGAAGAGCGTAGATTATCTTTAAATATCTCATTTGTCTCAGGAGCTTAGAGTAGAGGAGAGAGAAAGTTCAGGAAAGTTTATCGTAACTCGATGATTGATATAAGCACGTGAAAGAAGAGCAAAATAGAAGACAAGTGCTTGAAATCACAGTGGACACTATTGAATCTTGAAATATTATGAACTCTGTCTGTATAATTAAAGTAACTTCATAATTTAATTTCAAGCGACATCATAAGTTGAATTTTTCAGCTATGGTAGGAAAACAAATGGAAAACGAAAGCAAAATGTTTTAAAAAAGCATAAGCATACTGATTTGATTTTCGTATGTGGAAAATTTGCATAAAGTCACAACAGATATTTTTTTCTTCCTCTCTCTCACTGAGACACTCTTACTGTTTGCAAATATGAACTAATATTTCCGACAGATTTCGCGCACGGCAACAGAATTTTGCGATGTCTTTACAAAAAAAATTATTTTTTAATTATTGCATTCCTAATCTTTCAAGCGTAATTAGAGTAGAAAGTCCCACAACATAATCCGCAGTTGTTTGCTAGTCCTGCATTACGAGGTTTATCGAAGAGTTCCAAGTAGCTTAAACACATAATTGAACGGAAATATAAATATTCGCCTAAAAATGGAACATAATGAAAGTATTCTAAATTTACCACCACGCTAGGTCTCCCAACTGTTGCAATTACAGGTTTAGCTCGCCTTGAGGCCGGCTCTATTTTGATTTTTGGTGTTGGAATAGATTACCTCGCAGACATCCTGATTTCCTACCTTTTCTCCCGTCAAGACATGAAACCCCTGCTTTACTCGCGCGAATGATCCTTCGCCAATGGTTTTTCCAAGCAGATAATTGCCAATGCGCTTGCATTTCAAATATTTTTGAAGTTCCTCTTTCGGGACTTGAGCGACTCCTGCGGGTAAAAATCCGTTCACTTGATCGCGGGCCGAATCGTCGTCGATTTCCATGTGATCTCGTTGTGTTGGAGGCATATCACTCATCAACGTCTAATTTGCTCTCTCCTATGACGCTGAAGCAAGCGCTAGAGATAATCATAAGTCAAAAATCCTTTTAGTTTAGTTCGAAAACTAAAAATCTTCCATCATTCCATGGATTTCTCACGTTCAAAAGTTCAATGTAAAATGAGATCGAGAGAATGTTTGCCAACTGTCAACTTGTGACATGCGAAAAATTTCAAATACTCAAGATGATTCGTCCATCACTCCAGGTTAATTTGTTCGTAATAAACACAAGGTTAACAATTGAAATCTGATCAAGCGGCTCTGTGCCAGCCCGTGGATTGATGTGTCACTCAAGTCCTCGCTTTCAAAACATCATGATCGCGCGCGCGCACGATTAATATAAAGCACTTAGCGCGCGAGACATTCCTTGAACATCTTTTCAGATCTACGAAAGACAACGGAACAATGAAAGCTATTAAATTACCGTTTTTAGCTATAAGAACAAACAACCCTATTGCGTGTCTCGATTGCCCTTCGAGAAATCGAGTAAGGCGCACACATCAGCCATGAATCGAACGACTTTTCTTGCGTTGGTTGGCTTAATATCTGTGTATGGAACCGACGCCTTTCTTCCACCCGAGGAAGTTTCGCTCTCTCCCAAGACTTGGTTCCAACGAGATCTCCAGAGGTTAGAGGAGCTTTCTCTTTACAACTCACAGCGACGTCCCAAACCATTGGCTTTTAGCAGTGGGAAGGGGTTGGTGGCTGGAAGTGGAAATGCCCTTGCAGTCCACGCTGGAAAAGAGGCTCTCAAGAAAGGAGGCAATGCAATGGATGCGTGCTTGACGACTGCTCTCACAGGTAGGCAGTTTATACACATTAGTGGTTGATGAAACACTCATAAAAAGTTAGGCACAAATCATAACCATCCTTATACAAATTTTTCTAACAATTTTTTCGCTTCGTAGTTTAAAAAAGTTCTTTTTGGGACTTAAAATTTGGTCTATGCGCTTACCTGTTAGCTGAGTGCATTTGATCCGGAGATGAGATTTTGAGATCCGTGTTTCTTGCGCCATAAAACATTTTGTGTTCACTTAGGATCTCTCTAAAGAGGCTTAGCTATGAGAGGATTAGTTAATTGTTCGGTACACTACTTACTTACCCAACGTAAAGTCTGTCTGTCTTCATTTCTGCACGAAGTAAAACCTAATCGTTATCTTTTGACAAAGTCAGTACTCAGAGAAATTTAAAGACTTGTTGGCGATTTTTTTTTTGTTTTTTTTTTTTGCTGTTTTGCAACATGGATTAAACAAAACAGAGATTGTTTGAATTTGAGAAATATTTCAGATAAGAGTCTGACGCACTTTGATCGATGGCTAAGAGCTACAGGCCGCTGTAAAGCACGTATATATGTACACTTAGAGACACTTGACCAGATAAGAACAGTAAAACGTCAAAAGTTATCACGTTTTAACGAAATCATTTTCCCGTGAGTTTCCACTTGCCGGCATTACTTGGTTTTTCCCCCACACAAAGATATTATTGTCAAAGCGTAGATCTTTGTGGTGATGGCTTAAGTATTTTGTGGTTTGGAGTTAACAAATGATGAAACAGTCTCTTACAGGGGAATCTAAGTAATAAAAAAGAATAACGATGACTCTGTTTTATCTCACGTGTTTTTTGGACCGAGAAAAGTTTCAAACATCTGCAGCGTTGTTCCTTTACTCTAAAGCACATTATGTTCCTGCGCTGGTAATTAGAAATAAAAGACAAGTACCTTGAAGATAATTTTCTAAGCTGGAATTTTCTCGTGATTTCTTTTATCATTAGAACGTAAACGCAATTACAATTAAACAGACCACTGATCGAAGTAAATTGATTTCCTGGGCGTTATATAACTTAAATGATATCTGATTGATCAATCTGCAAGATTTAATTACAATCTCCGATGCTAATTTGCAACACATTCACGAGTCGTTGTCATACATCTCGGTGTTATATAACAAACAACAAATATTTACTGTGGATTGCCCTCGTCTCTGGACACGAGACACTCACCCTTCAATAGAGAATCAATTTTCCTCACTGTCGCCACACATTTTCAGTTACTGCTGCTGGTTACCGAGGGATCGTGGTGGAGGATAAAAGTGAGCATCGTGGTTCTTAAACATGATAGAGTTAGGATAAATGAGAGTTAGCTGGGTTCGAATAACTTTTTCTACCAGAAAAGTAATTTTTGTAAGCGGAGGTAGACTGCCAGTAACCAGCCTTTGTTAAAACCTCACATTTAGGATAAAAGACAAGAAAATCTAAGTTTTCCTCGGAATCCGGAAAAACTGAAGACCGGAACAAAATTTGCAACTGTGTTGGGCAGTAGCGACCAGAAATCAGGATTGATGAGTTACAAACTTGATCATTTAAATCCGGTTGAGAGGAAATGAAGTTAAGTCGCAAATTTTCAATTATTTTATTTTTTCTCGTTATTTGGAGTTTCTGAAAACTGTTGTCGTTAATTGGAAGGAAACTCCTTAAAAATTGGTTCGCAAGGACAAACACCAAAGTTAAAAACTTTAACGAAACTTAAACGAACTGAGATTATTAACCCTGATTCCAAAAGCAATTCAAATAATTTAAACCCCAAAGATGACGTAACACAAAGGATGGGGTGACGGCGAATGTTAGCTTTCTTGGTATTACAAATTGCCTTTAAACCCGCGATCGTGCAAGGGTTTTTGTTTTTTTTGTTTTTTTTTTGTTTTTTTGTTTTTTTTTTCAGTTTCAGCCCTTTGACACGATGAACAAATTATCGTGTCAAGGGAACTTTATCGTAGTTATATCACCAGTTCATTAGTAAGATCATCATTCCGCAACTTCTGCGGATTGACTTTGATAACTCCATCTCGTGACTAGATGTCAACGATTTCTCTGAGATCCGCAAAAACACGCAACATCTTTTGCAGATATTTTTCTCAGTGAAAATTGCATTTAGAAATACAAGTCGACTTAACGGCTTTTGCACATGGTCCTCTATGCTGGTCTTATTTATTAATAACTGAAATTGAGGTTCGGCGCTGAGGACGGTCATGTCTCCTTAATTCTAGCCTACGGAAGCTACTTTAAATGTACAGTTTTACATGGACTTTGTCTGAGTCACGTCGTCTTCAGTCTAAAAGAACCAATCTGGGACTGATTAGCTAGAATATTTGCAATGTGATACTAAACGATGGTACTTACGCGGCATATTGTTTCGATTAGGCGCAAATAGGGACCAAAATAAAGTGACATAAGAAAGAATCAGTTAAAAAATGTTGTCTCCGCTCGATTTACTTGTTGCTTCAAAGAGACACGCGAATATTGTGCGCTTTGTACAAACAGAGGTCTTTTTTCCCTGAGGTCAGTAGCGTGGGTGAAATCTGTTTCTGGTGACAGTTTTTGGAAAGGCGTTTCTCACGAAAGATAATCGATAACACGGTGACGATGAAATATATCGTTTCGTTTGATTCCTGGCTAATGACATGATTACTCAGCGGTGGCCTTCACTTTCTCAGTAATTAACGACCTTTAATTTATATGAAATAAATACACTCTCGAGAAAGACATCGAGGAATTTATCCGTTTATAAAAAGAAACAAACCATAGATGGGGGATCCCAATCAAAAACCAGTTCATGTCCAAGAAGAGTTCTCTTTAAAGAGGTACAAAAGTATGGGCCGTGCCACAGAGTGCTTTCAGCCCCCTGTTGGCTTAAATTTGCACCTAAGACAGGGACATGTGGGTTTGAAATCAGAAACTAAGCAACATTTTTCACTTTCGGGAATAAAGACACAACTTTATTCAAGCAGTTCAACCGGGGAACGACAGATTTGCTAATATCACAGAGAATAGCAAAATCAATTCAAAATTGAGCAACAGGATCGAAGGATACACACTAATTCTTTAACTTAAAAAAGTGCCATATTTGATTGATTAAGACTTGCAAGATTATCTGATACACAATTTTTGCAAGAGGTATCATCGACTAAATTTCTGTTCGGTGCGTAAGTCCGTGGACACGACTTTCTGAGCTAAGAGCAGGCTTTATCTCGAGCATTACGGTACTCAAGATGATTTTGCCGGATTAAGGACCAGATTTCATGTGCAGAGCATGGCTGGAAGCAGGAGAGCATAAGTTCTCACAAATCGGACGCAGTCAAGTGACGAACAGATAAACGTTCTTTGTTATTGATTTTTCCATCTACCAGCCAACTCCCCGGTTTCGTTCCCACCAAAAGCTAAATTTCGTTTGCTGTTATGTGAAGCTTTGTCAGTGAATTTCACTGCTCTTCTGAGAGGTTTAAAATGGTTCCTTGCATTATCCCTTTTGACAGCTGTATATGTGGACACCAGATATTTTGCATTCGATGTTCATTTGTCAAAAGCCTGCCTTATCAAACTGAAGTTTAATTAGGATCATGAGCAAGGACAGATGAACTTTCATTTCCAATCATCGGATTTTTCTCGAAGCCAAATGTACCAGCTGATTATTTTTTAAGTCTCATCGTTGAAAGAAAAGATTCCAAAGCAGTGACCGACATCAAATTTCCAGTACTTTTCATAGGTTTGATTCCTCACACACTGTAAACACGTTGACGAGTATAGCTGCAAACCCGTGGCTATTCCGTAATCATCCCGTAACCATCATGCCGGTCTCTTCAGGCTGCTAGCGCGAGCCCATTTTCTGGACAGCGGTTGGTAATCAAGCTTTATTCTGATTCAGGTTTTCATCCACAATTTAATATTGTTTCATTTTCTACAGAGATCACTCTTGCAGCTGGATCACACGTGTCTTATGCCGGAGCAGCCAACATTTTGTACTATGACAGCTCCACTGGGGTCACTTACAACCTAGATGCAGGCTGGAACAAGCCTTACTACGTAGACCCTGCTCAGATTCCTGAACATCATTCCGAGCTCGGTAACGGAGCCGCCGTTCTAGTGCCAGGTCTCGTCGCAGGCGTCTCTACGGCCTCAGAGAAGTTTGGTTTATTTCCGCTGTCTAAACTGTTGCAACCGGCGTTGTACTTTGCCACCAGAGGATTCAAACTCCCTTCTGACCTGGCAGAGGAGATGAGGAAAAACTATAACCAGAGAGGCCTCCTGCGCACCAAGGAAGGTATGGCGTTTGGTTTGAAGCGATTTGTACAGGCGAGAGGATCTAGTTGTTCCTCCCTTAGTGAACGGTGTACTTAAGCGGTCAAGTGACCTTTCATAAATAAGATACCAAAAAGAGGAGGACCCTTACCTTGGTAAGACGTTTTAAGCTATTTACAGTTTTGTTCGTAAT